TAAAAGTTTAAGCAATGAAATTGATAATAAATTTGAGAAAATGTAAAATTAATTAATATAAGCATAACAATATAACCAAAATCTGATCCATTAGCCTAACTTAAGTCTAAATTGTTGGACGATTTTTTTGGCTATATCAAAGCTAATTTTAATTAATTAAATATCTGAATTTGCCCTGAACAGTGGTGTAGAAATTCTCATTTTTTGGGAAGTGCTCAAAAATATCATTTGCTAAATAAAAAAAAGAATATTTAATTATTAACAAAAATGCACAAAATATATTTTAAAAATCTCTTCTGGGATTTGAGATTTTATACTAAAGGCATCTCATACTCTTAGAGACGTGTGCTTCACAATTTAAGAACTATTGTTCTAGGATAACCACTCTTACTACATGATTCAACAAAAAAGAAGAAATTTATTTCAACAAAAGCTATTTTATCTCTCCACTCCCATACATATGTTTATTTTATTTTTTCTCTTTCTGAAGAAAAAAGAAGGCAATTTTTAAACATTATGGAGAGTATTGCATAGTGATAATGTTTCACTTAGATTTTCTCTTAGGAAGAGCCACTCTCATTCCTATACACTTAAGCTAAAAATAGACAGTTCAGATTCCATCTTGTATAAAGATTAATAATTAAATTCAAAAGTAATTTAGAAATTCTAGAAGAAAAAATCAATCAGGAACAGGACTTGAACTCTCAGCTTCTGCTTACTGTGCAGATTGTTATTAATTTTGCTACTTGGACCCTCTATCTGATCTACCCATCACTACCCTGTTTAGACTATATAATCTTACTAATCCAGATTAATCTTTTCTTCCAGAATTTCTTAAATTATTTAATTACATTCATAATTAATTAGATATCCAAATTTTACTTAATCAAAGTTAGCTTTAATATAGTTTAAAGTCTAAACTGCCAGATTATTTTATATTATATTTATATATACATTTTAAATTGTAAAATCAGCTCATTGTTTTCTTTTACATTTGATTTTTTTGGCTGTTATAGACTTAATGTAAAAAAAAATATTGCTCTTTAATTATAAAGATCAATCTTAATATTTAAGAAAGAATATATAGAATATACATCAAAGCTGCTTAGTTCAGGGAGCATATAGTTCTTTAATGTTAGAAATGTTTTAGATCTTTTTATAGATCATTGTCAACTTATGTAACTATGTTCAAACTAAGAATGACAGTTGCAAATACATAAGATTGAACAAAATTCAAATGTAAAATATGGTTTGCCAACAGAATAAATATATCATTTTTACATTTGAATCTCTTTCAATCGTATAGTATTTGCAACTAACATTCTTTGTTTGAGCATATAAAAAAATCTAAAATGTTTCTTTTAGAAAGAAATGTTAAATGTTAAACTTTTAAACTTCTTTTAAATGTTAAAGAACTGGTTGCCTAAACTATGAAGTTTTAATGTATATTCTATATAAAATGGTGCCAGTGTTGTCTGAATTAGTTAAGAAAGAATATAACAAAATTTTAATAGCATATTACATATTTAATTTCTAATTGGAGATATGCATCAGATTCTCTTTTTAAATACTTGCTTTTAAAGACTATTATATTTCTTTCAGATAAAATATCTATCATGAAATTACCATGACATCCAGCAACAGGAAATCAATTATCTCAGTGGTGTGTGACCAAAGAGGGGGTGCAAAAATGCTTGTGGAGGCACAGAATTTTCCCACTTTCAATAAAAATACACACATTTACTTATTTTATTGTTTATTTATAGAAATAGTTTTGTTCATGTAACAACAAGAACAATAAATATTTCCATGTTAATAGGAATATGAGTCAGGGATATGGTGCAAATATTGAAACAGCTCTTCAGGTGCACACTTCCAAATTATCTAATCCAAAATGGGGAACCTTTTTTTTTTTTTTTTTTTCTTCTGAACATTCTCAAATGTTACATAGCATTTTAAATTAATTAAAATGACAGATTTGTAATTTTTAATTCATGATTTCTGAACACTATAATTTTTTCATTTTGATTTATTAATTGCTGGTTTGGATCAGTTTCTGAAAGCAATAAAGAAAGAGCACCATTTTTCTGCTAAGTCTTCAAGTATTAATCACTAAGTTACACAGTAAAAATATTTCTAGTTTTTACTTAAATAATAATAACACAACAATATAGTAGCATTTAAGTTACATGTAGAAATTCATATAAATGAAGCATCATTTTAAAAAAACTAAAATTCATTAAATTTTAATATAAAGTTTTTGAGAATATTAGAACCTATATAATTCAAGAAATACAGATCAGTTCTTTTTAGAGATAAAAAAAAGGAAATGAATATATTTCAATTAAATTATGCATGTAGTTTTATGAAGTCTCCATCAAGTAACATTTGTCCTAACAATGAAAGGTTCCTACCCCTGATCTAATTTATTCCTATATTTTTTGGTATTTTATTGCTATTTCTCTAGAAAAATAAATTTTTCAAAAATAATAGTACAATAGGTGCTGCTTATTGTAATCAGTTTTCTAATATTGTCGAAATTAACATGTATATTAAATAATGTTACAAAACTTTTGCTTATTATCATCATAATAAGCTTTACATTACTAATGACAAATTTGAATTTACTTAGATGTTTAGCAACCATCAAGACAGATAATAATGCTTATAAGTCATATTGTTCCAATAAAAAACATGACAATAAAAATCACCACAATGGTCAGAATCAATTTAAAACAATCATTCAATCATATAAGATGTTTAATCTTTATATGTTAAATGTTTGTTTTAATATTGCACTCAATACTGTATACATTACTGTAGTTTAAATTTTGATTTCTGGCACTTATTACTTTATTTATAGGCTCACTGTATGATGTTGAAGACTGCAATCTTCATTACTGTAAAGTACAGTACAGTACTATTATACTAAGAAGTACGGTATAATACTGTACTGTACCTCTTAGTAGAATAAAAGCAAATAAGAAATGCAAAGATTTATCCTTCAAAGATAAACTTGAAATTTTAGAACGCTGTTACCAAAAATGAGTCAATGACAATGTTCTGTGCAGTTAAAAAATTTCACAGCAAGTTTTATGCAAGATTTTGATAAATGGAGCTGTGCTGTCTTTCTATTTTGGATAATTTTATCAAAATAGAAAGGCAGCAGGGAAAAATGAGAACATGGTGTGCAAGAGAAATTGAACCAGAAAAGATAGTGAAATTGAGTTAGTTTTGAAGCTTTGGTTTAATAATAATTGTGAAAAAATGCGGCTGTTAATGTGCACTAATGCATCATAAAGCAGAAAAAGTAGCTAAAAATATGAAAATGCTTGAATGGTTCAGTTAATGGAGAATATTGTGTACAGATGGAGGAGAAAAGTTCTGATTCTTCACCAGCTGAGTTGTGAATAAAGACAGAATGGCTATGAATTCTTACTGAATATTCACTGAATCTACAATGCAGATAGGCAGCATTTTATTTTTGTGCACTGCCAAATCATATTTATGTTTAAACATGAAAGTGCTAAAGAATTTGTATCACTGAAGGGACATATTACAATTCTTAACTGTGCTAATATGCAAAGCCAGAAACAAAGACTTTTAGTTGCTATAAAAAGTAATTCTAGCTGTTTTAAGGATGTGAAAAATTACTATTCAAATGGAAATGCCTGAATAAGAACTGAACAATTTTTAACAACTGATTGGTTAAATGAGATATAAAGTAGAAACTAAAGATTGGTTTGCTGAGTAGACAATTATACAGCACATTGTGTGTTAATTAAAATTCAACATTAAAATAATATTCTTTTCAGCTAATACATCACTGATTCAGCCATGCAATCAAGGAATCATATCTAATTTAAAGAAATAAAATGTATGCAAGATACCAACTCTAAAACAGTCTAATGCAGTAAAACTTTCTTTATTCAAATGTTTTCAGTCATCTTAAACAATCTTCTTTAGGAAAAAGATCATTTAAGATGATTGAAAACATTTGAATAAAGTTTTACTGCATTAGTTTTAGAGTTGGTATTTGTACAAGTGTAGTTCATATAGGAGTAATAAGTTGTATGCAAGATTTTAGAGAATTAGATGCTATTCAAAACAACTTCATAGGGAAATTCTTTTGTCAACAGAAGTCATATATTTGACATACTATATCATTCGGCAATATCAAAGGGTCAAAGTTTTTTTTTTAAATAAAAACAGAGAAAATGAAGTGTCTGTTGAAGAGGAATAAATAACACTATAAAGATACACCAAAAGAAAAAGTTTAAAAATTGGTTGGCAGTTGACAAGGAAATTCCAGTGTCTTCTATGATATATCATCAGAAATATGCCAAATTGTTACTGAAGAATTGTGTGATGAAATCAAGAAAATCAACGTGAAGACAGTTTAGATTCTCCAATAATTGTTAAGATATTTGTTATAAGAATTTTTTAATATTATGTGATTCAATAAAACTGGAATTTTCACTAATTGTGGTCTAATTACTTTCATCGCATAATGTTATCACTTGATTATCATCATCAGTATAGGCTAGTCCCAAAGTGATTACAATAAGTGGCACCTAGTGTATATCTATTTTTTTTTTATTTAATATAAATAAATGCAATATATATATATATAACTCATATAAAATCTTGAAAAAATTCATTCTTTTTGATGAAAAATATGAATTTTTAAGAATGATAATTTAACTTATATTCCAATAATTTTATAAAAATTATACTTAATGAATAATTGAATGATAAATAAATGAATGAAATATATACATAGTGAAGTGATTTTATTAAAATAGATAATTGTTGAACAGATTTACAACAATACTGTTGAAATTATTTTTATATGAGTTAATACATATTTTTGCATTTATTACATAACTCTTCAATTGTGTTTTAAATATTAGTGCTTTGGTTTATAGATGTTAATTTAATAATATAGTGTATACAAAAAAATATACACATAAAAATATTGGATTCAATAAATATTTCAGAGTAAGCAGAACCAGGTGGAGCTACTTTCTGTTGTTAAAAAGAGCAGTACGGATTCGTCATCGTCGTCAGATTCTGACAGTTCCGACGATAGCGACAGCAGTTCCAGCACTAGCAGTGATGATAGCGACGATACTCCATTAAGTGCCCTGATCAAGAGACCTCTACCGACACCATCTGGTATGATATTTTTTAATTTGCAACGATTATTTTTCATAAAGCAATGGCATATATTATATATAATATATACATTAAACATTTGCATGGGTAATTCTGACTATTTATAAAAATTATTTTGATAAGTGGTCAATATTTGAAAATCTTAATGAATAGTTGACTTTTCTAAATGTTACAAAATTAGATACAGGGGTAGGTAGATAAAAGGGGAGGACTACGAGGCCTTAAGCCCTCCCTAGTGACAAAATAATTGTTTGAATTTCAAAATGTTTTTAAAAACATTTATGATGGAAAATGTAGTTTATTAGATCATTCAAATATTTTTAATTTTTGAGTAATTAAGCCCCTCTTTGGGCACTTCCGGATCTGCTAATGATACGGTTGCTTTAAAAAAGTTCATAAGCAAGCAGAACAGTGTTTTAAAAATGATGCTTTTAACTGTCTTTGCATTATTTTTGATGATCATTCTATTAAATAATCAAATTTTTAAAAGTTATACAATTAATCTATAACCCATTCTCATTGACCCAATCTAATGAGATGTAAGCTTCAAAAAAAAAAAAAAAAAGAGAGAGAGAGAAACTCTAATGAATATCTAATTAAATACTAGAGTTTTTGTCGTGTATTTGAAACCTCAGCTATATATTAAAAATAAGGGGGCTAAATTATTGCAGAATTGTTAGATTTTAATTCTCTTTAATCAAACACTAGTATCTTCAATCTGTTAGATTAATATCAAAAATTAAACAGCTAATCCATTTAAAATTATAATATGTTTTGTTGCCTGTAATTAATCTAACTGAATGATGAGTATTCAAGAAATCAATATTTTTAACAACAAAATAATAATAAGTGATAAATTTTTTTATTCAGCCTGTTTTAAATCCAGCAATCATTTTTATTTTTTAATTCATATATAACAATGCAAATCATTTACGTGATTCAATGTTTTTATAATTTTTTAAGTTAACATTATAATCAAATTTTTTATTATTATTTAGATACAAAAAACACAGTGGAAATACAATAAACTATTGTATTTGGTTGAAATTATCAGCAATTATCTCATTTAGAAAAGTCAGCTCACATAGCTTGCAAATTTGCCCCTGCTAATCACTTGCCAATGGTAAGACATTCTGTAGTGAAGCTTCTACCTGTCTCTGGATGGTGGACAAAGTTGTTCATGCTTGTGTCATGATCAATCTCTTCTGGTGGTCTGTCTGCAGTGTCCAGAGCTTGCCTATCATGTATGTTTTCTCTTATGTATTTACTGTTCCCAACGATCAGGTCAGAAAGTCTCTTATGGCAAGTAATTTGGCAAAATGGCACTCCTGATTCCTTCAGCCTGATGATGCATCTTTTCTCAAACTTCATCATATAGGCATGCCCGACACAAGGTATATTGAACATTTTGAGTCTGTGTGAGCCTTTGTATAAAATATTGGCATTATGTTGTATGCAATAGGACCACAACTGCAATCATATATAAACCTGTCTGAGGCATAGAATTCTGATTACTGCATAACTTATGCACCCAGATAGTTTCATGCTAGCTTTTTTGTCAAAGGTATAATAATGGATAAATACATATCCGTTATTATTCTTTGCTGTATTACCAACATAAAAATTCTACAGATGTCAAAATAACAATCTATGTGAAGACAGATTCATTTTTACTATTTATACAGTAATTTTAAATTGTTTCCATATAAATAATTTTTCATAACATATTTACTTTGACAATTACAGATGCAATAGCAAAAGCCAAATCTTGTGTCATGACAGCAGAAAAATTGCAAGATAAACAGCGTGTATTAATGATGGAAGACGGATTGTTCTATGCAGGAAATGTTATTGCCATTCATGCACCGGACGTGTAAGTCTAAAAGAGTATTAAGAATAGAAATCATCTTTAAGTTAAATTAAATTTTTTTTTACAAATATATAAATTCTTTTATCTTTATTATTTTAAGCTATGGAATTCATTTGGATGGAGACAGAGGAAGCAGGCTTCGTATTTATTCAATGGAAGAAATGTTAAAAGAGACAGTAAGTTTCATAACAGTTTTTATTTTAAAAACTATTTCTTGCAATACTTTTAAGAAAAATATTTACAAGTTTATATTCCATAAACCAATTTATCTAAATAGTGGACACCATGTACATTACAATACTACATAATTAAAGAACCATCTGTTTAGTTGAAAAAAATATACATATTTCTTTACAAAATACAAGGATCGATCAAGTAGTAGCTAAAACATTGTATACATCATGTATTTGGTTTGGTGTTAAAATCACTTTTGTAATAATTGTAAAATCCATTACTACTAAATCAAATCATATTAAAGAAACAGATAGTAATTGTCTTATTCTAATAGAATTTATAATGCATTATATATTAGATTTTAATGCTGTATTTATTTAAAATGTTTATTAAAGTAATTTCAGATTCATCCTGTACTTGAAATTTTACTTTAAATACATATTCAATATTTATAGTCAAAAATAATTCATCAAAACTTAATAAAACTATTTTTTCAGAATGTATAATAGTATAACTTTGTCATTGTCAAAATTAATGTTATAGGATTTATTAAAAATCATTGTGAAATTTTGATTTCCTGTTGCACCTGTTATGAGTAGGGAGGTGAAGTTAATTCAGCATAAAGTAGTTGCTGACCTCCTCCTGGAAGGTCCCTGAAAAGTTTCATTGCATTTGATCAAACATGTCAAAATGTATAAGGAACAGACTAACAAACCTTTCTTCTTTATATATAATATAACAAACGTATAGAAGTACTAGTATACAGTAATAATTTTCCTCCATTGTAACAAGTATAGTAGTGTGCTGTTCATTACAACATGAACTTTATACTTTCCACAGATATGGTCTTATTAGTAATTAGTTTGTATGTCAGATGTCTGTAAGCAAGGAACCATCTGTTTTACTATGAAAAGAAAGATCCATTTCTATTATCCTTTTACAAAAACTTTCATATCAGAGAGAATAATAGTTTGGTCTCTTATTTTTGTGACTGAAAAACTATAATATTCTAAGATGTTAACAATTACTGTAAAAATTAGTTTTTTCAGGATGATGACATTATTGAATGTAACATTAACTTCGTCTTTTACATTACTAGTTACTGTTAACTGCAAAGATCTTTCTTAATTTTATCAAATGATTCAAATGCATTTTTAGAGAAATTTTCAATATGTATAAGCCAATTTTTTATCACAACAGCTTGTGTATTTTTATTTGACATATAACATATATATATAAATTATTGCGCACATAATACATATTATATCTATTACACAGAAATTAGATTGTGCAAACAACGACTAAAGACATGTGCCAAAGTGACATTGCACATCCAGTAGTAGTAGTATCAAGTGACAAGTAAACATTTTATAGATTAATAATTTCAAATTAGTACTATTACATCTTCAAAGCTTGACTGCTAGCTTTGTAAAACTTATTTACATAGAGCCAGTGAAATATAAATTATGATTTTAGTAATCCCAGTTATCTTAAACCTTGCTAGATTCTTTTTAAAATTATACATAAGAACTATTTCCTAGTAAAGATTGTTTTAAATTATAGAAATTAAACTGTATATAAAACTAAAGAAATTCTTAATGATTTTTGTGCAAGTTCTAAATAACCGATTTAAGGAGATATTATGTAAATAATTTCATTTCAAACCTTTAGAAATTAATCATCTTAAAATTTGTTAAATATTTTTTGAAAATTGTATTTTTAACATTAAATGATCAATGAATGGATTTATTTTAGGTTTTAGAGGTAAAACCAACTTCACATCATCATCTTATTGAAGGTTCCAGAGTTTGTGCATTTTGGAGTCAGCAGTACAGATGTCTGTATCCTGGAACAGTAACAAAATGTAATTATCTTTACTAAGTTGTTGTAAAATAATAGTCACAATTCTATCTTAAATGATTCAATTTTTTTTATAGCAAATTCTGTGCCCAGTGACGATCTGATATATGTGGAATTTGATGACGGCGATTCCGGTCGCATTCCTCTCGAAGACATTCGTCTGTTGCCTCCTAATTATCCTATTGTCAGTAAGTATACTGTTTAATATTAGTACTTACTGAATCAAAATTAGTTTTCAAATATTGAATAATCAACTTTTTTGATTAGCTGTGAAGCCGACACCACTTCTGGCACTTAAACGAAGGCACTGTGCAGCTTCAAGCAAACAAAGTATGGACGATAAAAAATTAGCAGATTCCATACGGGAATCTTGTCAAATGAACAAAAAAACTAAAATTTTATCAAATTCAAGTAAGAAATGTAAGTATATAATGATCAAATTTTATAGTTTTCTTTAATACTAAGAAGGCAGCAGAAATAATTTTTTGAAATTGAATATTAAATCATAAAAGATGTGAACATTTATAACTAATTTTTCATGATATTGGATCTCCTATTGATTATGCCATCTCTATCTTTCTTACTCACTTTTCTACTAGTTCATTATTACAGGTAGCCCTCGGTTTATGCCGATTCATAATAATGCTGCTGAGCAATTTGTCGTTTCATGGTGTAATTCCCTGATTTTCATTTCAGTGTGACGTATTTACCGAATCACGACATTGTACATTCGTTAAAACAAAGATTTTTATTCAATATATTTATTTTTTCTGTTTAATATTATTAGGTATGTATACATGCATTAAATTAATATTAAAATAGTAAACGTTTAGGTACCCATAAGTCAAGTTATCAAAGTGCCAATGAATGTATCCCATATCACTTCATTCAGGAAAACACCTTACGACACAGTAGCACTTCCGGCGATTACAAACTATCGTTAGTGAGACAAATCTACTTCTTGTTGGCCAGACAATACTTTTTTATTAGCCAGACAATATCTATCTCTCCTTAGCCACCTTGAATTTTCCCGCTCAAACTGACCTTATATATGTGCTACGGCGACTGGTGGTCGACCAATCAGTGTCTCCGCTCATCTGTAGCTCTACATTGGGTTAATGTATCCTTTCAACTATGGAAAGTTTGATGGATGAACTTTGTGAGTTAGACAATGATTGGGAGCAAAGTGCAAGTGTAAAAAGGAGCATCATCACATCCATTTGACCATATTCCGAAATTATCAATGAAAGAAAACAAAAATGTAAAAGATCAAAAATGTAAAAGATCAAAAACTAAAATTTTTTAATAAAAACATTTCACTTTATTTTATGATATAAATTTAATTTTTAAAATGTATTTCATGTATTTTTTGTATTAATAAACAAAATTATTTGCTTATTTTTCACTTATGTAGAACCTAACCCTATACCTCAATGTAAATATGGGTTCGATTTGCGCTGGCCTTTGTAGGAATGGAACTGTGGCATAAACTGAGGGCTACCTGTATTTATGTTAAATGTTACAAAAGAAAAATAAGTTAACAAAGACTGGAATAGATAGAACTACATGGATTCTGGATCAAACAATTGAACAAAATATTAATACTCCACAGTGGGCAAATGGATGACAACCTGGAAAATATTTTATTATGAAAGATCCTAAAAAGAGTACAGTACCAAGCAATTAGACTAGAACAAATAACTTGCTGCCACCTGAACAGAAAGGAAATGGGTAAGAGAGGTACAAATGAAGCACAAAATTACTGTGTTGAACTTATCACACAGGAACACTATCTGATGAATAAAATAGACTTTATTTTGTACAAATTGTTAAACCAAAAATGATATTGCAATTTGTACAATAAGGACTAAAAAGAGGCAAATAGCCCAAAATGCATATCTGTTCTGTTGTACAAAATAAAGTCTATGGAATTGCATACTTCCTTGATGAATAAAATACAGTCAACCTCCCTATAACACTGTTGATAATTCCGTTTTATATGAATTCCATGTTGTACGAGTCACTTAGATTTTACAAATACATGTGCTGGGCTGTGAACGGCTCATGTATTTGTAAAATCTAAGTGACTCGTACAACATGAAACTCATATAAAATGGAATTATCAACAGTGTTGTAGGGGGTCGACTGTAATGTTGTAAATGCCAAAAAAACAAACTTCTCAGGACAGATAATACACTTTTTCTAGTGAATAAATTCCTTCACTAGAAAAAGTTTTTTAAGTCTTGAAGGAATTCATTTTAGTTTTACAATAAAATGGTAAAAAACTCACTAAGTTACAAGTTCTCTGGAACAACAAAATGATGTAAGCATAAGCCATAATGTTTTAAGCACCAAAAGTCACGTGAGTTGCACTTTTGCACTTCCATCATTATGGTTTGCACATAAATTCAACTTCAAAATATAGCCACAATATTTTTTTGCAGCAGAAAACATGGTATTTACAAAGAAATCAATTCTAAATGCAATTTTTCTCTAAATTCGTTTTATTAATGTTATGGCATTGCACACTTCAAATAGTGTTCCTGTGTGATAAGTTCTACATTTCAATTTTATGCTTACTCCAAAAGAACAAGAAGCAATCAAGTATTAAAGATACAAAGGATCAACTAGTCAGAGACATGATGATATTTGAAAATTGAAGGCAAAGAACAAATTCACATATAGCATGGATAAATTACAAGAAAGCCTTTGAGTCATTGCCACACAATTAGATACTTTACTGTGTGGAAATGACTGGAATTAGTAACAACATTAAGAAGGTGGTCATGATTGCAATGCTAATTTAGAAAACACAACTGACAATAAATAATGTAAGTAGTAAGCCAAGTCAACATTCACAGATGAATATTTCAAGGGGATTCACTTTCACCTTAGTGGAAGCATTGTTATTATGAACAACAATCAATTTTTAAGAAAATCAGGCAAGGCTGCTGAAATCAAATCTCTGCTCAACACTGTCAGTATCTTTTTAGTAATGATAGTGTGATAGACTTTGGATTGGATGATAATTGTGAACTTTCCTTTTTTAGCAAAGGTGTAAAACTGCCAAATGGCAGTGAAATAAAGAGTTTTCTTAAAGTAGTAAGCAACAAATATTTAGGTATCGTATAGGCAGAAAACATCAAACACACGAAGTCAAAAGCAAGACCAGCAAAGACTATATTAAGCAGGAAAAGAAAGTTTTAAAATCAAAGTAGCAAATACCCAGGCAGTATCTACAGGGTGAGTCAAAACTATGTGAACACTATTTGAGAGAAAGCATTTACTCAAAGTTTGCATTATACATAGTCTCAACCTGACCACCAGCATTCAACAGTACAATTTGTGCCAGAACACCAGAGATTGGGGAGGCCATAACAACGGTTCGTCGCAACCAATTGGAGTAGAAAACAAAACAATTTTTAATTTAACATTATTAATGAAACATCTTAATTTTAAGATTGTTCACATAATTTTGACTCACCCTGTATTATACATTTCACTGCTGGCATAATTGACTGAACACAAAAAATAATGACAATCATGCACTACATCCACAAAGTGATGATAACAAACTTTAGCTTTTATGCTGTGAAGGAAGATGAGCACTGCTACAGATTAAAGAAGAAATTGGAAAACATAAAAAAAGAAGCTAAGAATGCTAAATTACTGCAAACCAATTCCTTTGTTACAAAGGAAGCATACCAAAACGTGCAATTGGAAAAATAAAGTCCTCTATGGCCAATACTCTAAGAGTGCTGAAAAACATGAAAATGGTTAAGAAAAGGTACTTTACAGAAAGAAACAGAAAGCCTAATTCTTTGTGCACAAGAACATGCACTAAGAACAAATGCTATTAAAACACAGATTGCAAAGTCTTATAATATTAGTCCAAGCATCACTTCTGCAAAGAGTGTTACGAAACTTTGACATTCAAGCATCTTATGATGTATTCAAAGTAGCACAATGAGGTTTTTGTATACAGATGGATAAACATCTGACTCCTAACACCCCAGACATTATTCTGATTGTAATCTGTATCTTGTTTCTTTCTATGTAGCAGTTTCAGGTGACAAAGATAAAAGAAAACTATTAGGAGTCTATTAAAACTATTAGAAGGTCACTAGATATAAGGGCCTGCAGATCAAAGTTGATTGATTGTGGAAGGAGACCAGTCATAGTTCCAACTATAGTCTGAGCACTAAGAGCTATTCCAAGGGATCTAGAGCTTGATAGATTGCACTACTTGGAAAAGCACATACTTTGCATAAAAACTCTAAACATCTCAAGTCTGTGGGAGAGACTAAGTCAAATCCAGCCATTAATAGTTGAGAAGTGGGAAATCATTAGATTAAGTCAAACATTAATGTCATAAATTGCTTTTTTTTTTTACTGTCTGCCATCATGTTTTCCCATATGCACTGTATGAGGATGTATCAAAAATTAAATTTCCTTATTTTTCAACATAATCTCAAGCTTGCTGAAATTTTAGATTTGAATAAACATCACATTTTCTATTCCTTCACAAAAAAATCTAGGCTTTGATGTTTCAGCCATTGGCAGACTTCATGATTGATACCATATCTGTATGGATGATGATGATGTAAGTCTATTTTCAACTAAGAAGTTCAGTGGTACCTTTTGCAGTATACAGATAAAAAGGCTTCTTCATGACAACACCTGAGTTTTCAATTTTCCAATTCATCATAGGAGATATAATCTCCTTTCAAACAAAGCATTCCTTGATAGGAAATTGTGTGAAATCTATGAGTATTGGTTCAAGAACATTTCAAAAAAATAAACATAAATTCAAGGCTTCCTTAAGTACTGATGAATTTCTTTTAAATAATGATTTAAGATGTTTCCATGTCATTGACTTTATCTTGGAAAACAGCCTATAATAATATAATAATCACATAAAATAAACCCATGTTTTATTATAAAGTAATTATGCATCACTTTCCTTTTCATAACAACTGAGGTGATGAAGAGATAAACCCATCTGCAATTGTTTATTACTGTCACAAAGCTTCCTTGGAATCCCACAGGATCAGACATTGTCATTAATGTTTAGGCATTTGAAATGTCTGATTATTCTTGTGGAACAATACAAAATGTTCTCTCCATTTTATGTCTTGATTATTTTGAATAGCTTTTTCAATGTGAGATACAGGTTTGCTTGTCATTGAATATCATCTGTAACCTTCATCACCACCACAGTTTCCTTTGAAGAGACTTGAAACCTCAGTACAGTTTATTTACAAAGTGTGAAAAACTGATGTCATTTCCATACCAAACTTCCAGTTCTCAATGAATGTCAATTGATGCAGTTCTCTTTATCCATAAAAAATTATTATACTCCATATTTTCCTTGAATATTTAGTAATTAGTTTGTTTGTAGATGCTGATTTTCAGATTTTTGTCCTCCAAATGAGTCACATGACATGAAAACAAGAGTATGCTGGACATTGGTACCTTATTACTAAAACTTCATTGACCCTGCACCTGCAATTTCATTCATAGCAAAAAAAATTATTTAGGGAAATTTAATTTCTGATATATCTTATGCTAAACATTATCATTCATTGTATTATAAAATTAATCAGATAATTTTTCCTGTGTTAGAAATATGCTGTCTAAAATACATTAATGTTATTTCTTTCAGATATAACTATTAAAAAAATTAAAATTTTGATAATATGAGAACTGATTGTTATTTTCTTTTTTTGTGTTAAAGCAAAAACAAATCAGTTGGAAAAAAGTTCCCATACTTCATTCCATTTGCCAAAGAATGCAACATCGTCTGTTACTGTAACAAATAGCAACAACAGTAATGTGTTATCTACGACACAGCCCGTTGGTTTATCTCTGTTAACATCAAAGAAAGTAATTAAAACTAATTCCAAGATAGCATGTGCCAAGGAAATAGGTGAAAAATTAGATAAAGAAAAACTGAACTCTTCAAGCAAATTAACTACTATGGCGACAAATAAGCCAAAGAAGCACAAAAAACATCGTGATGAATCAAAACATCATCATCATCACCACCATCACCATCACCATCACCACAAAAAGCACAAAATCAATAAACAAAAAGTGTCATCGTCATCTGAGCAGTCAGGGGTGTCTCCAGTTTATGCATCTCCATTGGAAAGTCCATTTAATGGGAGTAATTACACCTTTTCATCAGATTTGTCACCTGTGTCCGCATCATCTCTCAATGCCAATTCCAGCCTTTCTGTACAGTCTAATTTACAGAATGATAGGAAAAAATCTGAATTAACTGTTAAAATTAAGACAAATACTACAGAATCTCTACCTCATCATCACGATGAACTGGATAACAACTCCTCAAAAAACAGTAGTGACTGTTCCGATACCAGTGATAGCTCTGACGATGACAGTATTGACAGTGTTCCCCAAGAAAAGAAAGCTAAGGTAAGAAAATTTTTATGGTTAATATAAATATGCAATTTATTAGCAATAACTAATAAAAATGTATACATGTGTAGATTGTAAGCAGTCATTCCGAAAACGGTGAAAAGAAACGGCGCGATAGGAGGCCGTCAGTAGAAAAGAGCAAAATTGCAGGTGAGTTGTCATTGTAACATTTAATGTACTTTTGACAAAAAAGAGAAATAACGAGTAACATATTTTCTACCTTTAGCATTCCTGCCAGCGCGCCAGTTGTGGCGATGGTCTGGTAATTGTTTCCGACGTCGTGGTACAAAAGGAAGAGCAAAGAAAGATTATTACAGAGCTGTTACTAGGGGGAAAGAAACTATAAAGGTAAACAATTTGATCCAATTTCACATAAAAGACTTATTATATTTTCTTGAATTTCCCAAATAATCGTTTTTTTTCAATAATAATAGGTGGGAGACTGTGCGGTATTTTTATCTACTGGTAGACCTCATCTGCCGTACATAGGACGCATCGAGACCATGTGGCAGTCGTGGGGTGGAAACATGGTCGTCAAAGTAAAATGGTTTTATCATCCCGAAGAAACCAGAGGTGGAAAACGGCTAGCAGGTTTAAAGGTATTGGCTTCAGACCAAAACTAAATGATTTCCTATTTTATAAGCAAAAGTATAAAGTAACAAAAAATATTTCAACAGGGTGCACTCTTCCAGTCTTCCCATCTTGATGAAAATGATGTCCAAACAATTTCTCACAAGTGTGAAGTTTTATCTTGGGAAGAATATAAGAAAAGGAGGGACCAAGAGGTGTGCCAAAACCCAACGTTTGGCTCAATATTCGACAACAATGACATCTACTACTTAGCGGGAACATACGAACCCACGACAGGAATCATCACAATGGAACCTGGGATAACCTGAGACAGAATTTATATCATACAACTTTCCTAGTGTAGTTGCCATTGCAAAGTAATATTACAGAATACCCTTAAACTGTGGACTTTAATTTTCCGGATATTATGGGAGATGTGTGGCTTTCCAATTTTGCAAACAGTTGCTTCCAAAATGAAATATATTGAAGATAAAATATAAATATATATATAGATATATATTCACACACCCCCTTCCAAACAAACCTTGATCCTACTGCAGTCATGTTTTATGATATTTTTGCCATTGTAGAATGCATGGTAGATTTCAGTTGTCAGTGAAAAACATGCAAGGTGGAAGTAATGAGTGATTATTGTCCATAATGTTATCAGTTTCCAAAAGGAAAATGAAATTAATGTAGATTGGGCCCTATTGTTGTGAGCTTTTTCTCTGTATATCTAAAATATTTACCGTACGGCAGTCGAACTGTTGTTTAAAGATTTTTTTGTTGTCAGTTTATGTTCTTTGTTATTGAAGGGTCCATAAAGATTTAACGATTTCTTTTAAAGTACAATGTTGCTTGTTTGAAAAGTATATCTCATCGGCTTGTTATGATGTTATCGCTTTTACACAACTAAGTTGTGATTTACTAGTGTAAGAATATTTTAAAGTACCTGGTTATAGAGTTAGTTGCCATCTCAATAGCTTCAAAATGTTGGATTATATATGTTCTAAATTTTGTTACAGTTTTAATGTTATCATCTAGAAGAAATGCAAGAGCATAAGTGTAACCCATTAAAAAGAAAAAAAAAAACACATTTAAAATATCGAGGCAATCCGTCGTCGATTGCCAACATAATTTGGTGCAGCTGAAATTGTTATAATGAGCTTTAGCAAAGTTGTTAATAAAAATGTTGGCACAGTTTTATTTAAAGAGGCAAATAAATTTATAAATTTTATGGTAAATTTTAATCTATGTATAGAGTGTAAAAAAATTGGCCATTTTCTTTCTATAACTCTTTTTATCTGCTGGCAACGAGTCTAATCGACAGTAACAACTAAATGCACAAAAGTTTCTTATGCAAAGCATTGTCATACCAGACGGTTGTCAGTGCAGACTCCAGCTACCCACCAAAGACCGAGTAGTTTTAGAAAGGCACAATCTCCAGTTTAACCGGCTACGTAACTACCGTGGGGATAATGCACCCTTAACGGTAGCAAAAGTGTTGATTGTCCTAGTAGTTGACCATATGCAAAAAAAAAAAAATTAAAAAAGTTAAAAAAAATAATATTCAAAAGTGATCATAAGCATTACTTTAGCAGTGTAAGTTGCACCACTTGTACAGTGTGTATAAAGTCTGTGTATTATAAGGTATATCCCAGTGAAACCCTGTCTATTTTTATAAAGTTGTATGGAGTGTGTCTAGCAAGGTACTGGTTTGTATATAGAATCATTATTATAAGCTGGGACAGAAATTATTTTGTCGGTAATGGATGTTTGAATTAAATGTTTCAGGATGCAAGTCGGAGCCAGACATGCAAAATTTAACAATATACAATGAAAAAATATAAAAAAAAATATATATATACAAAATAGTATTTTCTTCTGTCGAGAAAATTTCCAGAGCAATTGTTTTTATTATTGGTTGTTAACTCATTTGAGTCGTTTACCAGAATACATAGCTAGCACCGTAAGCACGTAATTTTCACATATCGACTGTTTTCACGGTGCAGAAAATTTTCTCCTCTTATAGAATCGTCGGCCTGTTGGGATTTGTTTGCCAATTACTCAGTGTTAAAATAGGCAAGGTAGTTAATTGTTTCTTGCTATTATGCTTCAGTGGCATGTCCACCATCAAGGCTCCTGTAACTGATAGATGTTGTGTACAGATTTCTGTTGTAATATGAACATAAAACTATTGTGACGTAAGCATTTTATTCTACCCAATTGTTGCAGCTGCTTTTGTGGCAAAATCTATTAAATTCATTTTCCCTTGCTATTGTCAACTTGTTTCTTTGTCATTATAATATGGTTAATCACCCAAAAATTAACTTTTCATTAATCCAGTCACTGGACAGGGAAATGTGGCAATTGTGTAATTACAAATGAAATCGTACAAAAATATATTGAAAAGAAATGAAAAACTACTCTAAATTATTATAATCATTGCAATTAAAATCACAAAATTCTAGCATTGTAAATTTCTTTTTAATGTTAACCGACTGACGATCCCGTAGTCCGAGTGAGTGGATTTCAGATAATTTATTGTACATAAATCTTCATTTTAGACAAAATCATCTTCCTATTTTAATAAATAAGATCGTATTACAAAATATAAATTTCTTGAATAGAAATTCAATTTCAAATAAAATTTTAACTTTTTAGCTTTTATAAAATGGATTCTTATGACAAAACTGCACTTCAATAATTATTTCATAATAATGTTTTATTTATAATAAACTTAAAAGTGATTAAAACTCTCTCTCTGATTTAGTCCATTATTAATCTCAAACTTAAGATTATTTAACATTACTTTATGTCATTTGAATGACAACACTGTAAATGAACTCTGGATATCATCTTATTGAACTACAGGGATTTTTTAAAAAAACAGACTTTGGGATTTAGTTATTGTAAATTTATTGAATTTCTACAGTTTTGAAGCACAATATGAATAAATATAAATTAACTTATTGAATGTTTTTATTTACAAATAGCAAACATTGTCAATTACATATACTCAACTATTTACATTTGAAAAATGCATGAAAATCTATAAGTTTGAAGCACGAAACAGTTTGAGACTTAGTTTGAAACTCGCAAGCTTTGTGTTAATGTGCTTTGATATTTTTTTTTTGTTTTGTTTTGGTAATAATGATGGTTTATGTGGATTAAGCTATTAAAGAGATGCTATCTTTTTCTTTGGACGGACTCGAATCCTTTCTGCAAAAACAAAAAACGAATTATGCTGATAGGGCGTGTTATTCGTTCGAAATAATATATTTTTAAAAATTATTTACTGTTACTAACAACTTCAAAATTAAATAAATAAATAAATAAATAACAATAAAAACAACATATTACCTTGACATTGATCCATCCATATCCTCTTCTAGTAAAGACGCATTCTCTCTCACATAATTATGGCAAGAAGATAATTTGGATTCCAATGCCTGAGTGTGCATAAGCAGGAAATTTTGTTAGTGTTTGTTACAGACCAAGCCGTTAAAGCTATCGTAGGATTGGAATTAGAAATTTAAAGATATTTTCTTTACATTATTAATTCATTCATTCCCAGCCATTGAAATTTTCATGGTAAACATAACCAATTTTTAATTATTTCTATATTAATAGTGTTTAAAATTTTTTTTAATTAACTAAGCATTCGGCGAAATTATTTTAAGTTAAGAACTAATTTATGCATGCTAATATACAAAGAAAAAATAAATCATTTTTAATTAATTAAAACTGGTAATAAAAATATAAAAAGTATTTTTTAAAAAATAGTTAAAAGAAGGAAGTTTTTGGCAAATAAGATGGCATATTTTTAAAATATATTTAATCTATATGGCACAAAATATTAATTATTTAAAAATCCTGTGTACAACTACAATATCTTACTATTATACATAATAGTAACTCTGCACTCTACCTGAAATATTTCCGATTCAAATTTATTTAAATTTCAACAAATTGAATGCCTCTAATATTTCAAAAATTCATTATTCTAAAATAAAGGCAACAACTTAAATTATTGTTTAAACTATAAAATTAAATTTACAATAGGAGATTCTTCGTCTATGAATACTATACGAATATAATTAATATTAGCATTAGTCATAAAAAGATTAAAAAATACAAAACATATTTTTTGGACTAAAAGCCAATAAAACAGTTCATTAGAAATTTTTTATACTGTAGATTCGAGATTTTTATTTGATGAAATATGCATTTTTAAACATAAAAAAATTTTTCAAATATATAACTTCTTTTCAAAATTTTAAATAAATTAATTATAATTTCTCAATAAGTAATAAATTAGATGTAAAGAAAAATATCAGATAGGAAATATCAAACAAATATTTATAAAAGACAGAAAAAAAATATATATTAATTAAATTTCTAAGCCTGTTATAAATAGGAACAACAAATTACACTATACTAAATACATTTTGAAATTGTGAATTACAGCTTAAGGAAACAAACCTACAAAAAATCTTTTCAAATTTTATAAACCTAGGTTCATATTTGCATACAAACTACCAATTTCTCCCCTTTCAGCAACTGTTCCATTAATTTGTTGTGTGTTGAAATACCTCAACTTTTGCCAAACTTTGATTATTTCAATTAATTACATTCTAATTTAGTTTGTGTCACACAGTACAATGTAAATTTGCTTTGATTTGTATTTATTTTGTTTTATTGGTTCATTTACAAGGTTCATATGACATGTGTGAATCTAGCTCAAGAATTACCTGTACTTGAAAACTAACTAATCCTTGAAAATTTGCACAATTTTGATCTATACAACCTAAAAATATGCATCATCATCATCATCATCATCATAAAGAGCTAAAACAATCAGTCTTTCCTCATTTTTCTAGTAATTTTAATTCAATTTATATAAATATACAAATGTCACGCTTGTCTTACAATTTCCTTCACCACTAGCATCTTACCAAGTTCATGAATTGGAGATATTATATGCTTTTACAAACTTAAGATTTTAGAAAGCATTTATACAAAATATTAGCAATATCTTTAAATTTGAAAGGATGTGCTCAAAATGCATTTTGGCAAATATAATAAATTGTTTAATAAAGGATAATGTTGCATATGTTTTTAAAATACACTGCATAGTGGTTATAAAGAAAATAGTAATTTAAAATTTATACAATATGTACATTTGTGTGTAAAATAAAATGATAGCTATGTCTTCAAATAGATTCCTAAACATTTATTGAAAAAGCTTAGTCAAATATATGGTTTAAAACCATTATCAGTTTATTTCAAGATTCATAAAATCAAATTTTTAAATTCTAAAAAATTTAAACTAATGATTATTGGATAATTTACAGTAGCAAAGGAATGCACATATTTATCATGTTTTATTATTTCATGGCTCCTAAGTTATAATCTATGTAAAGTTGTTATATTTGAAGTACTTCTATCTATTTGTGAGTTTACAGAGAATAAATAATTTTCTCAGAAAAAATGTTATTTTTTTGTCAGTAAGTTACAATAATATAAATACCATTGGCCAAATTTTAAAATAACATGTTTGATGTTAAAAATGAATATTTTATATCCTTGTATGCTGATAAATCAATTAATATATCTTACATTAATAGTAATGAGATATTAACTGCAGAGAATTGCATATAATAGAATAAAATAAATGCAAATACTCTGACAATTCCTTTTCTTAGTAGAACATTAAATCAAAAAAAAAATGTATATTAAAAATTAATGATCTTTTCTATAAGCAACTATAGATTTAATAAAAATGCAAAAATGTAATAATGTATTTTGAATACATTGGGTAAATTATAGAGTTAAGTATTATAGTTTTTGCTGTTGAAAGCATTAAGAAATCAGCTTTATTTTTAATAATATTCTGTTATAAAACTCTATAATTGTTTTAATATTGCAATAGCTTTACAGAATGGCTCAAGCAAATGAAAATACAGTATAACCCTTATTTATGAATACTCAATATATGGGAATTCAATACAATGACCCATTTTGTTTTCTTCACTTCCCCATTTACAAGAACAAAATATTCTGCTCAAGAGTGCAACAAGATTGTCTGCTTTCTATTATTTTAATTAAGTTATTTTCATACCATTAAATAAAGAAAGGACTGATAACTTATGTTTGCCTCTCTCATTTCAAGTTAGTTTCTTTTATATTGATGAATAGCCTAATCAATACTATTTAATTTCATTTACAATCATTGACTGATAGATAAATAAGTGTTTTAGTATTTTAACATTGCTTGTGAAACATTGATAAGATGAATGGATTATTCTGAGATAAGGAACACTGGAAACCTTGTTCTTATTCATGATAGTATGATTTTTGAGAAGTTTTAAAAATAAGACATGTTTATAAATCAGTCATTTTTATTATGTAACTATGAATTACATCATATGATGTTAAAATTCTGTTGTATAAAAACTATGTTTGATCTGATTACACATATATTTGTAAAAACTGTCAATTCTACATATAGTATTGACATTATGGGATGCCAATATACCTTATATTGAACTTCCCTTATATTAAAGGCAACACATTTCAATTAAAATATTAATATCAATATTTAATAAAATATGTTCGCATTATATTCCTTTAAACACCACCAAAAAAAAAACCTTTTAGTAGCAAGAAAATTAACTTATGTTTAATTAGTGAAAATATTTATAACCATTTTAAGTGACTATCATTGAGCAACTAAAAATCAAACACAACAGAATAAATGTATAAAATAATGACATGAAAACAATATTAAAAATTAAAAACAGAAAATAATGCTTTCATTAATTAAAAGTAATGGTTAATTTCCTTGTTGCTAAAAGATTTTTTGTGGTATTTTATGACAGTTTAATATGATTTAACCACTAACATGGTCTGCATTATTTTTAACAATATTTTAAATTAATTTTTATATTCATGTGATCTAAACAAGGAAATAAAAACTCTACACTGTAACTAGTCAATCAATAGTAAATTCAAATCTTTTTCAAAAAGAAAAACTTGAATTGTAAAGGAACTTTCATATTTAAAAACAAATCCAGTCATGGAGCATCTAATCTAACTAACATATTTAAAGTGTTTAGTTATCTATGATCTCTTACCTACTTAGCTTATTCTAATTTTAAAATAACTGGAGTACATATTGATTTATAACAATATATCAGAATCAATTCTTTAAATTATTAAATGAAACAAATGATTAATTAAAAATTATTATAACTAATCAATCTTTGATATACATT